CCCCAAAACCCCAAAACCCCAACAGGAAGATATTAGTTAATATATAATTAAATTATAAAATAATCATTCAGAAATATGGATATGAATTTACCTGAAGGATTCAAAATAAAGAATAACATTATCACCGGCACGACAGGTGAAGGTCTATTTCATGTTAAGATTCATCAGCCAGAAAAGAAAAATGCCTTGTCAAGAGCTATGTATAATGAACTTAAAGAATCTCTACAACTTGCCTAAAAGCTAGACGAAGTCAAAGTAGTCTTGGTTTATGGGGCTCAGGGTGATTTTAGTTCAGGAAATGATATGGATAACTTTATTAACCTTCCTCCTGACAGTGCTTAAAACATAAGTGATTTTACATTTGCATTTGCTGGATTAACAAAACCATTATATTTCTTTGTTTAGGGATGCGCTGTTGGTATCATTGCTACAATGGCAGCTCATGCTGATTTTGTTTATTGCAGTGAAAATGCTTTCTTCTTCACACCATTTATGGGTTTGCAACTTGCAACCGAGGGCTTATGCTCAATTAAATTCCCAGAAATTATGGGTAGAAGAAAAGCAGCAGAAGTTTTGTTCTTAGATTAAAGAGTCACAGCTTAAGATGCGTTAAAGTATAGATTCATAAATGGAATTATCAAGAGAGATGACTTACCTGCAACCGAGCCTTTAATATAAGACATAGAAAAATTACCATATCTTAAAAAATTACTCAGTACTGATTCAAAGACTATGTAAAATGCAAAAAAATTGTTAGTATAGGGATAAGATATGCAGAGATTGAGACAGCACAATATGCTAGAATAAACTCTTTGTGAAAACGCATAATTGGCACCTGGATTTAAGGATCATATAAGAAATTATATGAAGAAAGGGATGAAAAAAGAATAGCCTAAATTATGAGCTAATGTTATATTTTGCAATTTAGATTTTTCAAAAGCAATTGTTAATTTAATCATTTTAATTCTCAGAGAATTTAGAATAATGGGGTTTTGGGGTTTTGGGG